ATTGACACTTCATGTAGACTTTCTAATTTACTTAGTCACAGTGCCATGTTGCTACTCTTGGTATGTCCATATTGTACTATGATATTTTGATACCTTTTTCTTTTTCCAAAAAAAAAAAATATATATATATATCTTTCTGCACTTGCTTTGCAGAACGAATAATGCACCCTGAAGTGCCAATTGCACTGAGAATAACTGGCCATCTTTTGCTTGGAGTCGTGCGAATATACTCCAAACAAGTTGACTATCTTTACGAAGACTGCAATGAAGTACGAATAATGATTAATAGGGTCTACACAACTGTTAATGTCAATCTTCCACATGATGCGACTCATGCACAGGTTCAGGCTGTAACATTGCCAGATAAATTCAATCTCGACACGTTGGAATTAGATGATCATTATAATGACTGGTATGTAATTTTTTTTGTCAAAACCGGACTTGTAATTGTTTTTTATCAAGCTATGTATTTGGAAGATTTGAAGGAGTTTTGTAATTTCAGGAGCAAGGATTTTCATTTTAAGAGCTGGGATGACATAACTTTGAAAGGTTACTAATATTGTGTTGATAGCTTAGATTATATAAATATTTAATTGGCTTTTACATTTTGAATATATTTTTGGTATTCTTATGTCACAGAGCAAATTCCAACTGGAAAAGATCCATACATTGTCATCACTTTCGACGAGGTGCGCATAATTTACGTCCCTTTTATTTCTAATAATTTCATGCTTTTTTTGTAAAGCTTATTTATTTGCCTATTTCAATACCTTCTCCATTGAAGCAGATTCGGAGGGATACATTGCAAATGGAAGATAATTTGGAAACTGGGCCGACTCCAATGGACGAAGAGTATGAAATATTTTTCCATTCGCATCAAAGTTCGAATATGCCATTTTTCATATCAAGCAAATTGTAATTGCATTTTTTATTATGTGTAGTGTCCTTTTAAATGATCCCTCTTCCAATAACCAAATATCGGCTGATGATATAAATATTGAGCACAAAACTCCTCAAAAGTCGCCTAGTATTGAAATCATGCGTGATGCGGCCCCCGATTTCGGTTTCAACAATTCGCCTATACTGCCAGATCGTGCAGCTCCCGACAGATTTCTCGAGGAGCAGATAAATAAAGATAAGGAGACTTTTACACCAGCTACAAAAGAAATGCCGTTAACCGATGTTCGATTTTCATCACCTCGTAATAAGTTTCCTGAAGAAGAAGAAGATGAAAGGCATTCTCTTGGGCAGTTGAACTCCCCAACTCCTTTTGGTGGGTCATCATATTTTCTTTTTCTTCTATATTATTGGCAAAAGTTTTAAATATTGTAATTTTTTTGTTGTTTTCTGCAGTCCACCAAACTCCGGTAATGGAAATCCAGCAAACTCCAGTGGTTTTACAACCGAGAGTAAGGAAGAAGAGTCTGAAGAGAAAGCAGTTTTTTGATGAGGTCACTGTACTGAGCAACGAGTATGGTTTTCTCATTTTGTTTTTGCCGTTTTTTTCCCCCATATATATATGTACTGTTTTCAGTTAGGAAACTTTTTGATCTTCTTGACAATATGCAATGCAGCTTAAAACAATTTATTCATTTATTTCATTATGTTTCTAAATCAATAAGGCTCATCCAAGATGCTCTAAACCACACGAGTGATATCTGTCGGATTAAGAGGAACTGCCCTTCATCGTCTCTTTCCATCTGGAAATACAACAACATGCTACGGTTAAGAACGAAAGATAATAATTTCGAGGCCTTCATAAATGGTCTGTCAGTATTTATTTCCCATTTGTTCATTCCTTAATGTATTCTAATGTTGTTTTTTCTATTTTCATCTGAATGAATGAAAAGCTTACTGTTTCTTCTTCAGGAGCTTGTGACGATTTGCAAGCTGTATATAAAGAAGATATAATAATTCATGGCAGATTTCAACTTGACCCCACACAAGAAACCCATCAAGAAATGAACAAAACAAATAGTCACATCGAAATCGAAATTCTTCGTAATCACGAATGCCCCTCGCCAGATAGGCATATGCCGTCTTTCTCCACGGCTATTCCTTCTCCGAGTGGCAAATTTTTTTTAACTCCAGAAAACTCCGATTTGGGCTTGGGCTCGGAACGTGAAGAGGACAGGCATTTGCAGAAAATGGACACGGGCCCGTCTCGAAATTTTGATTCGGATATTATGCAAACTCCCAACACATTTGACGAAATCGGGTTCAGAGCCGAGCACACGGCCCTTTCTGACATTCCTGAGCTGGTGCCTTCAGCCGGAGTATGTTTCGTTATATATTTTACAGAGTTCAAATCATTTGTTTTTTTAACTAGTATCATATAACAAAATAAAATGAAATCCGTCATCAAGGTAAAAGTGCATATACATACTTACACACGATAATATCTCTCCACATTTTGGTGCTTTTTAATGTACTTTTATGGCTATTGTGTCTGATAATGGTGTGTCCTTCCTTTCTTTCTCGATCAGGAGCTCGGTTTTCTCGAACAAGACGATTTTTCTCCACTTGGTAATATTGGCATATTCAAGATTCACATTTTGGTTTTGTGGACTATTTCTTGTGGAAATTTTTTTAATATAAATTCATTTCACTTAACTCGAATAGGATCTCAAGGAACACCCGAAGTTGGAATCTTTTCACAGTATCTTGGAACTCCGGAGTTGCACGCATTGTCTTCACGAACAAGGTAAGAATAATAAGATCTTCGTGAAATGCTAGATACACCCCTCTGAGTTTAAGCTAATCACAGAAAAGACCAACTGGTGCTTAAGAATCACTACTACCTTTTTTTCCACACTTTTTTTTTTAAAGCCATTTCAGGGTAATTTGTTAAATGAAAGAATCTAAATGGTGAATTTGTAATCACCCTTTAATCTATATGTATTAAGATCTTTTACGTTCGATTGGCTTGTAGAGCTGTGGCTCAGTACTTGCAAAGGCAGTCATCAGTTACCCCTATTGCTGAAACTTCAGACGAATCGCCTGACCTGAGTTTGCACAAGATTCTTCAAGGCAAGCCTCGAAAAGTCTGTACTCGAATGTTCTTCGAAACTTTGGTAAGTGCTAAATGACATATAATTTAAACAACATTCGAATAGTATCACGAGTAGCAGCTTTGCACACTTTTTCAACAAACGAATGCTCACGAACGGTTTTTATAACTTTGCAGGTCTTGAAAACTCATGGACTAGTCGATGCACGTCAAGAAAATCCGTATGGCGATATCACTTTGAAAGTGACTCCTAACCTCTCCAAGGGAAAGTTCTCTGTCTAAAGATCACAATGTGTTATAGCTATTCATGTAAATAGGTAATTGTTTTCTTTAAGTAATAACTGAATAAATATCAATATTAACATTCATAATGTTTTTAATCACAGCAAATTCTTCTTCTTGTTCAGGTGGCATATGTGTAACAGTTAAAATGGCAATAATTCCACCCAGGAAGATTCTTTTGCTCATTGGAATATTTGTGATAAATTATAATGTTTGCCTCCAGCTATTTTTAATTTTTTATAGGCCTTTTTGATAGTCTTTTATCTAATTTCTCCAGTTTTTGTGGATGGTTAGTGGCATGTTTTTTTGTAGTTTTTTTGGATGGTTATAAGTGGTTAATTGTAAATTTGTTTACAGTGAATTTGATCTTAATTTTTACATCATATCAAGTTAACATCAACTATTGGCAAAGCCATTGAAAGCCACTTTTAACAAAATTCAATGTTGAAATGCCAATTACCAAGTGAAAAATGAAATAGGTTAGACATGAACATGAGCTGCTCGGCCCGTCGACCTGGCATGAACTCGGCTTGGTCAAACCGGTGGTTAATGGGTATGGGACCGGCCCAGATTTTAGTCGTGCTGATTCAAGTTCGGCCATTTTGAACATATGACTTGTCGGATTGGCTGGGAAAGAACAACGGTTACTATTTTTTTTTTTTTTTTTAAGAATGGACTCGACACGGCTTGTCGAGTCGTGTACCTGACTCGTACCTAGGTATCAGCTAATTTAGGTTCGTAGATTTTTAACCCGGTGCTTGTCGGGCCCGACACAAAATTTGGCCATGTCTATATTAGTTAATACCTTCAATTTAGTTGAAAGCAACACCTAAAATTTTCACAATTATAAAATTCAGTGTGGACACCTCCCACAAAACTATAGCCTATAGGCCATAAGTGTGATATGAGTTACAATACCCGGAAGAGCAAACCCAAAAAAATCTGGCCAATCAGGTCGAACAAATCGGGTGGTTGAAGTAGAGCAGCAAGAGGGTCTATCAGACTATCACCGACGAGAAGTATCAGGTCGGAAGGAGTGATAGGTGTTCAAAGGGACAACGACAGGTCGAGCTTGGGTCCTCGGATGGCCCTACAGAAATTCGACTTGTAGGCGTGGTTGGTCGTGTAATAGACCAGAAATGACAACACTTATGCTCAGAAAAAGCAATATTCTACCTCAACCGACCTCGAGCTAGTCGCACCATTATGCAGTCTAATACGAAAGACTAAGACATAAGAAAGAACCTTAAGGTATAAGAGCCACATGTGGATAAGGTCAAAAAAAAAAAAAAAAAAAAAAAAATTGGGCAGTTCGGGTCAAATGGACAACCCACTAAGGTAGTCTTGGGCAACAAAGTATCAACTCCTTATATGGAGGAGTGAGGTATGCCCATGATCACATTACATTCTCTACATACATTTACATACAACCCTTCATCTTTTTCACATTGCTAACTTCATTATCAGAGAGTCTTCCCAGAAAAACCTCTCGGTGTGAAATTTTTTGTAGTTCCGAAGGCGTCCACTCATCGAGGAGCTCTAGATCAAACCGAATACAATCGATCGGAGTTCTTTTGCATATCAAATTGTCTACACTAGGGTTCAAATTGTAATTAAAAAAAAAAAGTATTTTTGTATTAGATGGTATTTTAGCCTATATTTCGATATTTTCCATTATAAAATGGATACAAAACGATGTTTAAAAGAGTTACAGAACTGCTGGTATCTTCAGCAATACCAACCTAAATGCCATAATATTTGAAACATTA